CTGGAGGCAACATGTTATATAGGACCCTTCGATGACGCGAAAGAGTATTTTTGATGAGTCGGCAAGTCTACAGGTGTTATCACATCCTCTCCACGGGGAACATTCGCAGTTAACTCTCCAGACCGCGACTACGACATGGGTCCCTGATATCAACAATCTGCTAGGAGTCTTCTCATAAATTTGCAAACTTTGCGTGCCGAGTGAGAAGCCTGCACCATTATTCTCCTCCCTGTCTTGCTTGCCTCCCCATCTCATCTCGTCAGTATCCTTATCTAGCACTATATCCAAGGTAATTGTTACAATCGGGTTATTTTAGTGGTAGTATTTTGAAAAATACACGCCGAGAACAGATAGGGTTGCATTTCCACTCCGACTCAGACAGGTTTTACACAAGGATAGAGCGAGAGTGGACTTCGATGACATTGCAAATACATTTGATTCGGATGGCTTGTTGTCCTTTGCCTTTATCTCCCTCGGAGTCCTGATGGCATGGGCAATCAAGTAGACATAAACCGCCTAGAGTGCCGGTCGAGCCAAAGACGCCTATGTGTCCCTTTGATCCTGGTGTGAAAGCCATTGGAATACGGAGGCTACTCGCAAAACGACGTGCAGGGGCTAGTAGAAGGTTATCTCTCGAGCCCGAAAGACCGCGTCACCTGTAAGCAAGCGGTCGAAAACATGGGATAAACATTCTTATCTCCGAGTCCTCTAGCAACCGAAACATTCCACCGGCAATGATCGACATCTATTGCGCTCCGCCGCTAATGCACGTTGCTTATTCTCAGCCAAGGAATCCTCGTACTTGGCGATAGTATCTTCGGGCCATTGACCGAAGAGACGCTCATTTTGGGAAGTTGGCCTCCATGATTATAATATTGGTCGAATACCTAGCTTTCGGCATAATGCTGCAGGTATCGAAATCCCGTCCAGAGATTGCCCTATCTTTGTTCTCCACAGCTTTAGCTATCACACATAACTCATGTTCTGTCCTAGTTGATGCATGTGATACAGACTGTCATTAGGAGTGCTGCTCTAGGCTGCAAGATCCAGGGGGATGAAAGGTCGCGCTAACAGTATTGGATATGCTATCTGCAGATGTCGAAGGAGTCGCGAATCTACAGGCAGCGCCAAGCCCGATTTTAATGTACCAGGCTTACACAAGTCTCCACAGTGTAATCAAATTGGAGGGACAGTAAATGCTCAGTGCATACACTGAAGTGGCTGAGACCGGACAACCAGGGGTGTTGGAGACATTCTAGAACCCACCGAAAAGTGAGCAAGTCCATACCTTTGTCCTGTGGGGCTTCTTCAGGACAGTGAGAATAGGATGACATGCATGTTTGACAGGTATAAATACGGCTCGCATACTGTGTTCTGCCTGCCCATTAACACAGTGTCTGCTTTTTACGCCCCTCACCATGGCGCTCACCAACGTATCTGCTATCAATGCAACGATGCGAGCTGTTGTCTGGCAAGGAGATGCATATAACGTTGCTGTGGTGGACCTGCCAAAGCCTACTATCATAAACCAGACAGATGTCATTGTTCGGATGTCTAGAGCAGCTATTTGCGGATCCGACCTGCATATTTATCGAGGAACAAACCAAGGAATGCCGGCTCCATTCGGGCTGGGACACGAGGGCTTTGGCTATGTATCTGAGGTGGGATCTGGTGTTGACTCACTCAAGATTGGTGATCCAGTGATTGTCCCTTTCACCGTTGATGAAGGACATCTGCACACCGAGCTCACCACACAGATGTACGGCGGCTACGGGAATGGAGGCAGCCTCGGTGGCACGCAGGGTAAGTACATCTGCCGAGTATGAATCCCATCTAAGCTAACGGTTAAAATCTAAGCTGAATATTTGCGTGTACCGTTCGGAGACAACGGCCTTATCCCAGTTCCAACCCTCGAATACACCGACCCAAGCACCAACGATTCTGTTTCACTGCTGAACGATTATGTTATGCTATCCGATATATTTGGTACCGGTTGGGCATCTCTGGACTTCGCAGGGTTCGACGCAGGTGACACGGTCGCTGTATTTGGGGCTGGGCCTGTTGGACTGATGGCTGCATACTCGGCCATCTTGCGAGGTGCATCTACTGTCTACAGTGTTGACTACGTGCCCGAGCGACTGCAGCTTGCCGAATCTATCGGAGCTATCCCTATCAATTTCCGGAACGCCGACCCCGTGGAACAGATATTAGCACTGGAGCCGAACGGAGTTGCTCGGAGCATCGACGCGGTTGGATATGAGCAGGTGAACAGAAATCTCACCGTACAGTCGGACGTCATCATCCGTAACATGCTGGCTGTCACTGCCACCGGAGGTGGAATGGGCACAGTCGGGGTTTACTCGCACGAATCCAACAATACCTCAACTGCGCCTCGTGCCTCGACCGTCCATACTCATGTCGATTTCCCACTCGCCGAATTCTTCTACGGAGAGTTCACTTGGGGGGCTGGACCATCGAAGCCAATCGAACTTGCGCCTGAGCTTCTGCACCTTGTCACGTCCGGCAAAGCGAGACCTGGGTTTATAGTGAGCGATGTCGTCAACATTGAGGACGCTCCGGAGGCATACGCCAGGTTTGAGAGACATAATGCCACCAAGGTCATCATCAATTTTGACTAGTCTGCTACTCTGTCCCATCAATGGCGAGAGAGTCGGAATTCTTCATTGCCAACGAATCGCGTGACGATTATTGTGAGCACTTGCATTCTGTACCTGCTGCTTCAATGTAAATCTCGCTTGCTTCTGTTTCGATAATCTGCCTACACAATACTAGTTACCACCACCACAGCTCGATGGATGCATTTAATTCTGTTGAAATTGAATATTACTATAGGCTCGCCGAGGTAACTTGAACGTAAACATCATAGCACTGCAAATTATCCTGCTCATTCAGTTGCAGGAGTCTTCGTTCGGTGATTCTTTTTGGCCCATAGGCTGTACCCAATAGAGAAGATCGACAGGAGACTAAAGTGACTATGTCAGTTGAGCTTCAAGCACTTTCTTCATCAAGTAACATACCCGTCAATAACGCTAAGCGCAATCGTTGCGGCCTGCACACCATGGCTATTGCTTCCATCACGCTTCCTATAGCAATGTCCGTGATTGTATTGACATTGGTGATTCCAAGATTGTTGTGATGCCAATGTACCGATGGTCGCAATCCAAAAGATCGCCGTGACACAGTTCGCTCCGACGAGAAGCCAGAGTTTATAAATGCTCTTGGCAATGAAAGATGCGGTAAGAATGTAGATGGCAACTAGGATCGTTGCAATCGCCTGGATCACCTGTTAGATTTATGCAACGAGTATTTGGATCAATACACTCACCGTGAAGATAGCAAGCCCGAAGCCTGTCGTGGTGGATGCTATAGTGACGCCATAGATCGAGCACCCTAGGATGATCAACGCGATCACGAATTGCACCACATGGATTCCAAGCTGTATCGGCTCCATCTTTCAAAGAATGACGACTCTTTGCTCTTCACTGGCAGGTAGTTAACGAGAATCGAACCTGGCGCACCAGGGCATTTTATATGCGATGATACTAGCGATGCAACCCTTCAGGGCAACGGCCATGATCGAGTGCACGGTGTATCCACCATATTGAAATTTTGCCCTCTGGCCATTGGATCGGGGAGAATATTGACCAATCCTCGGAGGCATAAGGTTATTGTTACTAAAGATTTAGGTAACGGCCGTGGTGGCGCAGTGTCGGCATCAATGCACCAACACATGAAGACCCACTGCTATCCGACTTTTGTTGCGGAGAAGAGTTTTAGGGCTACCGGGTGGGTCGTCGCTCTTTACGACCTCGAACTATTGATGCCTCTAACATCTATATCACAACGGATCTCAAGTATGTTATGACTGTATTGCGATGTACTCCACTCTCATGTCGCTATTCACGAGGACACACAACGTGTCATATCGCGTGTGGTTTGGTGTCAGCCGTGGCTGGACTTGATATAGCGGGCTGAATGAGCTCATCTTCGGAGTCCCCCGATCGACTAGGCTACCAGATTGAATGGAAGCGAGGCCCCACCGATATCCAAAAGTGGCTGTGATGATGCTATTCTTGCTACCACAATCTCTCGTTGATATTTATAACCCTGCAATCAAATGCTGTGTTTGCTGTCTGCCATCAATGCCTCGAGACCAAAGAACGAAGGCGAAAATATGCACATCAATAAAGATGACCAGGAACGGGAAATGTCTGCCCCTACACGATGTTAGGTGCCTGATAGAACTTCCAGACACATATCCCCTTATGCCAATGATGGCAACGAGGTAATGCGATGCAAACAAGCTCTTGCATTGCTTGCCTCCTTACCGTTGAATGCATGTGCCGGCCTTATCATATGTCGGACTATGACCCAGACTTGAAGATCCCTGGAGATATTGCGCTTGATGCTGTCGGGTGAATCCACATCACACCTCCTGAGCCTTGTGGCTGGCCGTGCAAACGACGTTGTCGACTGGTAGTCACTTGGCTCCATTGATGGAATTCTGCAGGTTGATGTTGCATTAGCCTTTTTACACTTTTTCAGAGCATATTCCAGGGCAAAATATATGCAGCAGGGCAACAGCCATCAGGACATTTCTAATCTCTGCAACGCCATTCTTTGGTTTGTGTAAAGAATACATGGAAGACAATTGAAATAGATAGGACACTAGATAAGTGATGACCATATAGACCTGCGGTTCTCTGGATGTAACCAAGTACTAGTAAAGCCCGACGCAGAAGCTCTGCAGGACCACGCCGCGCAAGGACTTTTCTGGAGGAGGTGAACAACGCTTGGAGTTGGTGTTGATTTGGCAAGTAGGACTGGTGTTGTTAACATGTACCATACGGCGGTGAGACATTCCAAGAGGTAGTAAATTAAATCTTCAAGAACTTGAAAGAAATGTAGAAGCAGGGAAAGTGGCCGTGGACCTTAGCCATACCAAGGCAGTGGCAATAGTCAAGCTGACCAAAACTATGCGGATGCGACCGTCGGCTGATAATAATGCCGAGCCTCAGACTAATCCCACAGCTCACAGCCAAAGCATACGCCCGAGGTTGCATGCAACTTCGCCAGCCGGATATATGTACCTGAAATTAGTCAATGACAGCGAAGGCCGTTCAGGTTCCTCTTATCCTGCACTTCAGCTACTTGATGATCACTCGGGCCGTTCGATACACGTTCAACTGGCAGTGTCAACAGAACACGCAGCCATCTTCAGAAACTAGGGGAGATATCTATCAAGAAGTGTGTTCGGACTAGATTGACCCGAGGGGGATCATCAGTGGATGTTTCAACCTCTAATTGGAAGCCTCACCATGCTAGGGGGATCCTGCATGGTTATTCTGCATTGCTCCACAAGCCTGTGCTTCCCCCGGCACATTTATCAAGACCAGCCCTCCCACTCACTCGACGGCACTGATGCTGGAAGCATATACCCTAAGCGCCAGTAGGATAAAAACACCCGCCCGTCTCCACCCACAGAGAGAAAAAATGTACGAACCTGCGTTTGCAAGTCATGCTCCCTCCGCGGGATGCATCGATATTAGCAATGCGTCCATTGTGGTTGACCCGGAAGACTTCGCGGGTATTCACATCGCCGCCGAAGCCCTGGCGAACGACTTTGCGCGGGTTACAGGCCAAGGTGCTTCTCCGATCGTTTCAAATCTAAGCCAAGACTCCGCTGTAGAGGTCGCTATTGTGGTGGGCAGTCTCGCTCGGTCGCCCACCATCCAGAACTTGATTCAAGAAGGCAAGCTTGACGTAGCCGCGATTGACGGGCAATGGGAATGTTACATGACAACAGTCCTTCACGACGCTATTCAGGGAGCGACCAAGGCCCTTGTCATTGCTGGGAGCGACAAAAGAGGTGCGATCTACGGCTTATATACGCTATCCGAGCAGATCGGAGTTTCTCCGTAAGTTGATATGCTTCCCTCGTGAAGACGAAACTAATCCTGCGAGATGGTACTGGTGGGCCGATGTACCCCCGAAGCAAAGTAGGGAAATTTACGCCTTAAATGTGGGCACAAAACATGGGCCGCCGAGTGTGAAGTATAGGGGAATCTTCCTCAACGATGAAGCTCCATCCTTGTCTGGCTGGGTGCACGAGAAATTCGGACCCAAGTTCAATGTCGAGTTTTACAAGAGAGTCTTTGAACTCCTCCTTCGGCTGAAGGTATGAAGCGACTATCATGTCCGAGCATATTCCTGCTTTCTGACCGTGTTTAGGCGAACTTCCTGTGGCCTGCGATGTGGTTCGGCTTTCCTCATCCAGGAAGCAGCTTTTTCATAGACGACCCCCTGAATCAAGAGACGGCTGATACATATGGTATTGTGGTATCCACCTCGCACCATGAGCCAATGCAGAGGGCGATGAATGAATGGTTCGACCGTCCGTATTATGAACCGGAAAAAAGCTGGTCATGGATCAAAAACAAACCGAAGATCACCAAGTATTTCCAGGAAGGTGCTGAGCGAGCCAGGAAGTATGAGAGCTATCTCACCATGGGCATGCGAGGCCATGGTGATAAAGCAATGGATGCTGAGGACCCACCCGCTGTGCTCAAGGACGTTCTTTCCACCCAACGATCTATTATCAAGAATGCCTACGGAGAGGAAGATGGCGTGCATCGTAAGTCTCAGCGTCCTTGCACAGACCGACATATTATCCTGACCTTTGCGTAGAGTTAATCGCACTGTACAAGGAAGTCCAAGAGTACTACGACAACGGGCTTCCCATCCCAGAGGACATTACGCTCCTGTTTGCTGATGACAACTTTGGCACTGTCCGCAGGTTACCATCCGGTGCGGAATCGACAAGGCGTGGGGGAGCAGGTGTAGGTTCTGTAGTTCCGCAGCTTGACACGAGTCTCACTAATACATATAGATCTATTACCACCTGGAATACGTCGGAGTTCCGAGAAGCTACAAGTGGCTCAATAGCAACTCGTGTGGGAAGATTTGGCAGCAGCTGGAACAAACGTACAATCGAGGAGCCAAGGATATCTGGATCTTTAACGTGGGAGATCTGAAGCCGATGGAGGTTCCTTTAACCTTCGTTCTCACCCTTGCCTGGGATGTGACAAGCTTCGAAGTGCATCAACTACAGGACTTTTTCTATACTTTTGCGAAAGGCAATGTTCATCTGGGGTCGGCCGTGTCGCAACAGTGCTCGGAATTGCTGTTAAAGTATGACCGGTTAGTCGCCCTTCGGAGGCATGAGCACATCGAACCAGATACCTTCTCTCTCATCAATTATGGGGAAGCCGGGAATATTCTGCATCGTTGGCAAAAACTCTTGGGCCAAGCGGAAGAAGTCGAGAGATCGATTCCCGCGCCCATGATGCCGGCGTACTTTCAGCTCATCCTCCATCCGATTAAGGCCAGTTATATCTATGTCGCACTCAGGGTTGCGCAAGCGAAGAATCAACTTTACGCCATCCAACGACGCAACACAGCGAATTCGTGGGCCTATGAGGCACTCCGCCTCTTTGACGAGGATTTTAATCTTAGCGACGAATATCATTCTCTTCTCAACGGGAAATGGAATCATATCATGCGCCAGCCGCACTATGGCTATACACGATCATGGCACGCTCCGTCCCGCGACATGATAAACGGCCTCTCGTTCGTACAAAACCGACAAGACTCGAACCCCATCGTTGGCTGGATTGGAATCGCTGTCGAAGGGCACCCCGGTGTTCGACCGGGACTCACGAATGAAGAATCCGATCGCACTCATCCTAGCCGTCGCGATCAAATCGCTGGAGTGACGCTGCCACCTATGGAGCCTTATGGTCCCAAGTCTCGCTACTTCGAGATTTATTGTCGAGGCAGCAAATCCGTATCCTGGGCTCTCACATCACCACACCACTGGCTTACGCTCTCGCCATCCTCAGGAACTATCCAGCCAAAAGGCGGAGACGAACTTGTGACAGTATCCGTAGACTGGGAACAAGTACCGGTTCATTTTGACGACACGTTGCTTGTCGACTTACGTTCTTCGCTCGGCGATTTCGAGCAGATTCACATCCCACTAAAAAGCCGATCGCTCGGTGCGGATATCAGGGGATTTGTCGAAGCAGATGAGCATGTTTCCATATATGCCACGTCGTTCATAAATTCGCTCTTATCCTCATATCGTGTCCTTCCGTTCATAGGTCGCACGCCGACCGGTGGCGTTGCTCTGGCTGTCGGCACTCCAGCATCGCATTCAGAATATCTCCAATACCCGTTTATCACATTCACACCAACGGCCACTGCGACACTGATCCTCGAGTTCACACTTACTTTGGACACTGATACCACCTCCCCCATCACATACAACGTTCAGCTTGACGATGGTGTCCTAGCTTCGTACCGGTTGGTGGCCCGGGTAGAAAAGCCTGGCAAACTCCCTGATGGGTGGCACGACTCCGTCATGGACAACATCTGGACTCGCCGTCATTCGATAGACCTTGGCGCCCCTGGCCTGCACACACTCCGTATCCGGCTTCAGGATGAAAATTGCGTCTTGGAGAAGATTGTGGTGGATCTCGGTGGTGTACGCGAGAGTTACCTTGGTCCCCCACAAAGCTTCTTTCATACAGGCAAACAGAGGTAGCTTAACGCACGGCTTAGGTGAGGGAGCATTAGCCTGAGCACTTACAACAACCTATTTGTACTCCATTGTGCTCAACTGGAATCCAACTAACTATACTGGATCCCAGAACATCCAATCGGCGGCCCCATAGTTAAAACTACCGTCGACGTACAAGTCAGTACCCCCAGGGCTCTGAAGAAGGGTATCAAGAAAAGACACATCTTCCGCGGGCTCGTCATGCTGTATCATCTTGTCCGGGGTTTTTGCACATCCATAGTCCCCGGTCTCATGTCGAGATCGCAACGTGCTGATGAACGCCGGCTCAGCCATGGAGTTGCTTGGTGGATTCAACATCCACGCCTTGTGTGTCATCTTGCGAACTACGGCATGGAGTGTTCCCTTGCTCCTAAGTATCTCCGGGCGGTTTGAGTAGACAAGAATAATCTTCTCCCATTTTCGGTCTAGCTCTGTGTTCGAAAAGAAGCCGTCCGTAGCTAGGCAATTCAAAAGGCATATCAAAGCGTCCCAGACAAAGAATGTCTTGATGTGCCACTGAAACCTCAGTAGGTCTGAATTAGCATATAAAGCGCAGTCGGTGTCAAGGATCTTCTCCGCGAGGACGCAGAGCCCCCATCTTTGCACACCCTTAACACTTTGACTCGTTATGGAAGACATCCGACTGCGCAGGCGTACCATGTTCGCGGCAGATCTGACGATACCAAGCGTCAGGATATGTACTGGATTTATGATATCGCAGTGCCTCAGATACTTCATCTCTATGTCACTTTCGAGGTTGTCTATTAGCCTCTCGATCTCTGTGTTATCTCGCACTTGGCCCTTGGGACTGACAGCGTTCATTTTTACTGCTGTGCGGGCATAGAATTCAGAGAGCTCTGCTTTCGTAAGACAGAATAGCATCTCAGAGGCACCGGTCTGTGCATTGGGCGGCTGCTTCATCCCGGGATGTATCTGTTCATCGTTCACGTTGAGTGGCCGCTTCGTATCCCAGTCACCCGGTGTGATGGAAATACCAGTGCCTGACACTTGGCCAGCGTAGCCATCAAGGGGGATGAGCTGCCAGAAAAGGCGTCTTCGCATTTCCATGTCAAATGGAGATAGATCTAGGCTCCCCCCGTCACGGTGCAGTCCCATACGCTGCGCGATACGGACCGCAACACCAGTCCAGATCCAGAACGTATGTGGATCGGTTTGAGTCCGCGTCGCGATTAGGAAAAGTACGTAGGCCTGTAATACTTGCAAATCGGTTGTTTTCAGCCAAGACGCATTGATGAACCCTTGCCGTGTGGCATACTGATACTTTGACATCAATGCAGCCCTTGGTTTCTCAAATTCACGGATACAGTCCTCATCGGCGAGTGAATATACTGCGAAATTGTAGACAGCAAATACAAGACACTCTTGAGCTTGCGTGGCTCCAGTCGATTGTTGTGACACTATTTCGATCAATTCTGTGGTTGTGGGTATGTGCAGGACCTTGCAGAGAGGATCAACATTTTGGACATAGATTTTCCAAAGCTTCATGGCGTCTGGATAGGGAGGATGATAGCCTGCGAGACTGTTTGATACCCCTAGCAGGGACCCAGAAAGCGGATCATCTATCGGCAAGTCCATGGCCACCGGAGAAGCCTGGTCGTCTACCCCATTGTCGGACAACTCTTGCATACTTACTTCTGCCACATCAAGCCACACTCGGCTGTCGATGTACCGTAATTTTCCGTCCTCGGAAACTAACCGTCCAGTCCTTTCTGCATCGCTTTGAGCTGTGCGGGGACGGCCTTCCTCATGGACGCTCCCCGGAGTTCCTCGGTAAGAGGGTGATCGTGTCTCAGTTGTCGAAAGAAGACCATTCTGTTGTAGAATGCGCTCGTATCTTGCTAAGCGCTGTTGCACATCCTCACTTTCCCTCCGTTTCCGCTTCCGTGGTGGTTGTGGTGCCTTATAAGCGCACTCAAGCTTGGCTTTTTGACAACTCGAGCAGGATGGCATGGTCCTGTCACATTTAATTTTCCTGCGTACGCAATGCTGACAGTTGTAAGACATCGTAGTGGAGTGTGTCAAAATACCCTCATTGCTACCGGACGCGGTCTTCCTTGTCGCAGGCGCGATTGCCACAGGGCGTGTACTCATAGCGATTCTTGGTGGGTCTGTTGCTGTACTCAACCAGCCGCGATACCCTGGCTTGTGGTCTGAAGGAGCAAATAATCTCGTATACGGAGTACTGTCAAGCGAATTGTCTCGCCACGTCAGCACGAAGAAGGTGTTAAGAGTAGTCGGAATCAGTATTCAACTGGCTCGGACTACGGGCCGGAGTGTCGACCCTCCGCTTCGGCCCCGACACTAATCCAAGCCTCCCATTGGCTGGCGTTCCTTGACCTTCCATGAAGCCCTATCTAGTACTTCTAGTAGGCATTACCCAGGTCGTGGTAATAGGACCCTCTCCAGAGAGTATAAATCGGTCATCGTTCGTTCCAGATTAAGCAGAGAATTGACAAGTGAATTGCGAACTCGATATCTAAGCACCACATAGGGCAGGATGACAACCCAATACTCGAACCCACAAGACCTAGAAGCCTCCAGGTCCAAGTCGGACGATCCAACCAAGCAATTTGATCCCGACCTTGTTACATGGGATGGGGCCCACGATGTGGAAAATCCAAAGAACTGGCCACAAAAGGATAAATGGCGAAATACTGTTGCCGTCTCCATCTTCACTTTTATCTCCCCCGTTTCCTCCTCCATGGTTGCTCCCGCATTGGCGCAGTTGGGTGCAGACCTTAACATGCAGAGCGATATCGAAGTCGAGCTAGCTTTGTCGATCTTCATCCTGGCCTATGCGATCGGCCCACTGTTCTGTGGTCCGGCTTCTGAGGTCTACGGCCGCGTGCGTCTCCTACAAATTAGCAACCTGTGGTACTTGGCATGGAATCTCGGCTGTGGCTTTGCGCAAACCCCGGCGCAATTTTTTGTATTTCGCTTTCTTGCCGGCATTGGTGGGAGTGCTCCAGTTGCACTTGGAGGCGCGGCTATTGGGTGAGTTGGAGAGGAGATGTACCCTTATCCCGATATCAACTAACCAGCCGGTCGGTAGGGATATCTGGACCCCAGAGGAGCGAGGAAAGGCAATGGGAATCTATACACTCGCCCCGATCCTTGGCCCGGTGGTCGGTCCCATTGCCGGAGGATTCGTTGCGGAGTATACGACCTGGCGTTGGGTGTTCTGGTCATCTAGCGCTGTCGCGGTTGCCATCCAGTTGGTTGGTTTGATCTGGCTACATGAGTCGCATCCTGCTACTCTTCTGAACCGGAAGAGAAATCGCCTTGTCCAACAAACAGGGAACCACAAGCTACATACTGGAATAGGCGCTACGAACCTGTCCAGCACGCTTGGTAGGGCCCTGGTGCGACCGGTCCGCCTGTTCACGACTCAGCCGATTGTGATGGTAGTCGCGCTGTACATGGGCTACCTCTTCGGGACGACATACCTCCTGCTGGCCACATTCCCGACGGTATGGGGTAGTCAGTACGGTGAGAGTCCAGGCATTGCTGGCCTCAATTATCTTTCCATTGCTGTTGGGTCATTCATCGGCCTCTTTCTCAACATCATGCTCATCGATCGCATCTACCACAGACTCAAAGCACAGAATTCCGGTCGTGGAGTACCCGAGTTTCGCATGCCCACCATGTTCATCGGCTCCGGGATGATCACCATCGGCCTCTTTTGGTACGGCTGGAGTGTACAGAGCCACATGCACTGGATGATGCCTAATATTGGTGTCGCTATCTTCTCCGCCGGTACAATGGGATGCTTGCAAGGAATGCAAACTTATGTCGTTGATAGCTACACAGCTTATGCGGCCAGTGCCATGGCTGCATGTGCGCTCCTCAGGAGCTTGGCTGGGTTTGGGTTTCCACTCTTTGCTCCGTATATGTACAGAGATCTAGGCTACGGATGGGGCACCAGTGTCCTGGCCTTTATCAGCATTGCGATCGGGCTTCCAGCTCCTTGGTTGTTTTGGCTTTTTGGTGCCAGGTTGCGGGCGAAGTCCAGATATGCCTCCGGCTGAGGAGCTAGTTGAACATCATTTCAAGCGTGTGTGATTTGCGTAAAGCATACACCGTATACCGGGTGGGCCGCCGGGCGCTGGGAGGAGAGAATAGTTCTTAAAAATGGATATATTTCTTGAGTGTAACTGGTGCGCTATGGCATGAGCTCAAAATAATATGCTGAGCTCAGTGCGGATATACAGTGCAGGAGGTCGTTATCTCTTGCTGGTTCTTCATATAGACTCTTGGTGGGTGGCTGAGGAGAGCGACTTCACATCATCGAATACATCTGCATACTTCACTGCACGCTCGGCATCGCTCTCCCCTTGAGAAGTGGGACCATCGAAAATCACAGCAATCTGTTCAAGCGTGTAGCCTTTAGTTTCCGGATAGAAAAAGTATGCTGTCACCCCGAAGATTAGCAGTACTATGATGAACACGATGTAGTACTTCCATTCAATAGCGTCCAGGGCAATGGGGTTCACAAATGTATTGAAGAAGATTGCACAGATAGAGGCTACCCAGGCCACGGTGAGGCCACGAGATCGGAGGCGGAAAGGCCATATTTCGCACGGATAGGCGGTTAACAAAGGGGTTCTATGAGAAATTGCAATGGTGAGCATGAATTAGCCCGCGAGGTAAGCGGTAGCAGCTTGGAGGGTGGAAAACTTACAGACAAAGTCCATAGCCTGCAAAGAAGATAAAGAGAAACGGGATAACAGCCGCTCCGGTGGCTACATGGTGAGTAGCTGAGAAGGATCCTGACAGTGCAGTGACCAGGACGTAGCTCACGAACATAACCACGGCGGATGCCAGGAACAGAGGACGACGACCAAATCGGTCAATGAGGAATGCGCCAAGGACAGCGAATATCAAATTCCACATCTGCATACAGGCGGAGATAAGCGTCTGATCCTTTACATTGGTCACTCCCACCGTGTCCAGAATGAGTGCCAAATAATAAGAGACCACGCCATTACCCGCCCATTGCGCGAAGATGCCCAAGCTGATAGAGATGAATAGCCGACGTCTGTTGCCAGGTGTTTTGAGCATCTCTATGTAGCTAGCACTGCTCTGTGTCTCCTGCTCAGCTGCAATGGTAGCGCTAATGGTCGAGATCTCATAGTTTACCAGCGGTGAGTTTGTGTCTCCCCCCGCATGGTGACGTGCAAGGATTGTGCGCGCCTCCTGATGACGGCCAACCGAAACCAACCAGCGAGGGCTTTCTGGAGCCAGTAGAAACCCCGGCAACGCAATGAGTGGTACAAGGGCTTGAAGAAGCGATGGTAGTCGCCAGGACCATGAGGATGTGTAGGTCCGTGATGCGAAGATCACCCACCCTGACACGGTTCCCCCTACGTACCATCCAGACATGAAGAGCGAGATTAACACGCCACGGTGACTAGGGTATGCGATCTCGTTGATAAGTAGCGGTACTGAGTTGCCAAATAATCCGGACGCCACGCCAACAAACAGTCGCGCCAGCAAGAATGAAGTCTCATTTGGAGCTGCTGTCTGAAGTGCACAGCCAAGAGCTAAGAAAAGATAGCCGACATAGACCCCTGGCTTGCGTCCATACTGATTTGCCAACCACGCCGCAGCTGGGTAGCCAACACCACCCCCCAGCCAGTATATGGCATTCAGCCATCCAAGACGCACACCAGTAGGATAGTCCAGAAAACTATTCCACTGGTCAAGGGCTTGAAGCCCGTTCATCAGAGATCCATCGTAGCCGTTCGCAGAGGAGAACATAACCAAAGAGAGTATAATCAAGTTCAGGCGAAGAAGATGACTTTCCTTGTACCAGGCTGGCCTGTCTGCGGGGAGGACAGCTGCCAGCTCTTCCTCCCCGGCGGGCTTGTTTGTATTATCGGCTTTAGTAGTCCCCATGGTATCCCCCAATCTAAGCGTAAATGTGTATGAAGAAATCACAGGAATCAAAGAGACCAAGAAAGACGAGGGGAGGACGTGAATTATATCTCCGAACCCGAGCTGGAGTGGGAGTGCGACTGGGAGTTCGAAATTCCTGATGGGTAAAGTTTTGAGGCATTAGCCTGCCATAGAATTGGCAACTAACCCTTGTTATGCCGGACGGCAGGCAAGGAGGATTTTGGGCGGGGACCAATTATTGTACGCCAGAAACGCCATACGCGTTCTCTGGTTGCATGGGGCTGGTCATATCCAACACCAAGAGGCGAACCTGTGGAGAAAACTTGGGGAAATCCGGGAGACACCAGTGGATCTCGCTCCATGCGACGAGAGAGAAGAGAAACGGAGAAACGGAGAAACGGAGAAAAGGGGAAAGAGGATATCGGGAAGAAGGTCGCCATCCCGGGCAATGAGAGTCCGGTCCGGTGTGGAGCAAAGTCTCCATCTCTTCTCACGCCGACGGAGAAATACTTCAGTGATGTACTTCGGCAGAGCTCCGCCATTCAACCATAACTAAGATCATGAAAAGTAGCGCAGTCTTGCATCTCATGCACATACAAAAGGGGCCAGATCAACCACGCAGAATGGCAGTACTTGACTACTACCCATCGACATTTCTTCCATTGTCCTAGCCGCTTCGTACAGGCACAGGAAAAGAGACGGACACTATGCCATGCATCGAGTCTATCCCCGATGGAACTGCCAGCGGTTTCCATTGCATTGCGACAGCAGATATTGAACAGATACTACAGCAATTAACTCAAGACGAGAAGGTTGCGCTTCTGACCGGTATGTCGTCCTCGCCAATGCGTGATCGCAGGCGTCTAGGATAGCACAAAGCTCACGCCCCATTGTGAATTTCTTACTAGGTGAGGATTTCTGGCACACAGTCCCTATTCCACGATTAGGGGTCCCATCGATCCGGCTCTCAGACGGTCCGAACGGTTTACGAGGAACAAAGTTTTTTGGCAGCGTACCATCCGCATGCCTTCCTTGTGGAACAGCCATTGGTG